GTTTTCACTTAGCATAATTCCCTGGACATTCATGCAAGTTGTTGTGTGTATAAATAGTTCACTCTTTTTTATTGCTGAGTAGTATACCATGGTATGTACAGACCACAGTTTGTTTAACCAGTCACCCACTGAAGGGTATCTGGACTGTTTCCAGATTTTGGCTACTATGAATAAAGCTGGTATAAACCATGGACAAATTTTGTGTGAACATAAGCTCTCATTTCCCTGAGTACATACACAGGAGTACAGTTGCTGCATTGTATGGTAGTTGTATGTTTAGCTTTTTAAGAAACTGCCAAACATTTTCCAGAATGACAGTGTCATTTTATAGTCTCACCAGCAATGTATGAATGATGTAGTTTCCTTGCCAACATTTGATATTGTCACTATTTTTTATTTTAATTATTCTAATAGTTTTATCTCTCATTTCCGTCGTGTCAGATCTGATTCATAGTGACCACTCCTTGGGTTTCTGAGGCAGCATAACTACTGAAGTGAATTGTGCAACCTTCCTTCCGAGGAGTGGCTGGTGTGTTTGAACCACCAGCCTTCTGGTTAGCAGTCAAGTGCTTTTAGGCACTATGCCACCAGAGCTCCTCCTCGAAAGGAAGGTTGGGCAATCTACTTCCATAGTGATACCGCCTCAGAAACCCAAGGAGGGGTCGTTATGAGTAAAGTCTGACTCGATGGCACGTAACAACAACAACACCACGTTGTTGTTGTTGTTATGTGTCATCAAGTCGGACCTGACTCATATGAAATCCCTGGGTAGTGCAAACAATTAGTATCCTTAGTTGCTATCTTAAAGCTGGGAGGTGTGAGTCTACTTAGAGATGCCTCATAAGAGAGGCCTGGTAATCTACTTTTGAAAAATCAGCCACTGAAAACCGACTGGAGTCTAATTCTACGCCAAGTACATGGAGTTGCCATGCATCTCAGGTGACTCTCAGCAACTGGTTTTATAGATGTGTAATGAAACCCAAGGAGGGGTCTCTATGAGTCAGAGACGACCCGACAGCACATAACAATAAAAAAAAAAAACAACAACAATTGCTGGTGAGACTGTAAAATGACACTGTCATTCTGGAAAATGTTTGGCAGTTTCTTAAAAAGCTACCTTGCATTTCCCCAGTAGCTAATGACGTTGAACAACTTTTCACATGCTTACTTGTTGTCCGTCAATCACTTGAAATGTTTGCCCTACTCTTTTGCTCATTTTCTAATTGAACTTATGTGTTTGTGTGTTTAGTTTTAAGAGTTCTTTATATATTCTAGATAGTAGTCCTTTGTTGGAAGAGTGGTTTGCAAATACTAACATCTGTAGTTTGTCTTTTCATCCTCAAAATAGTCCTTTCGTAGCATTTTTAGGTGTCAAGTCTAAGAACTTTACCTAACTGTAGATCTTGGAGGATTTTCTCCTATCATTTTTTTAAAAATGTAGTACTATTACATTTACATTCCAGTTCATGATAAACAAAACCAGTTGCTATTGAGTTGACTCTTACTCATGGCAACTCCATGTGTGTCAGAGTAGAAGTGTATTCCCTAGGGTTTTCAATAGTTGTTTTTCAGAAGTAGATCATCAGGCCTTTCTCTGAGGTATGTCTGGGTGAACAAACACCTCCAACCTTTCCGTCAGCAGCCAAGTGAGTTAACTGTTTCTCCCACCCAGGGATTCCACGCAGCAGATATTTGTACTATACTGTGTATTCTAATCTGCAAATCTCTATGTTTTATTTGTATGTAGATCACTTATATATAACGTAGTTATTGATAGGTTGGGGATAAATCTGTCATTTTATGTTTTGTATTCTGTTTGTAGCTTCTGTTTTCTTACCTTCCTGACAATAACCTGAGTATTTGTTTAGAGTTCTGTTTTGATTTATCTGTGGCATTTTTGAGTGTATCTCTTTGTATTGCTTTTAGTGGTTGCTCTAGGCATTACACTATATATATAATATGTGTGAGTGTGTATGTGTGTGTATAAAATATACATATTAACTTATTTATTTAACAGTGTACTGGCATCATTTTACCAGTTCAAGGGAAGTATAGAAACATTACCTCTTTTTATGTCTCTTTACCCTCTTTCATTTATAATAATATAATATAATGTCTTAAATAATTTCTCTACATTCATTTAAAATCATACCAGATAGTATTATAAATTTTCCTTCAAACTTAATTTATAAGTATCAAAAGAAGAAGGAAAACCTATTGTATTTACCTATATTTTGCTTATCACATTATTTATTCTCTTCTAATATTCTAAGTTCCTTCCTTTATTGTTTCCTTTATGCTTAGAGAACTTCCTTCAGCAGTTCTTTTAGCATCAGGCAACAAAATCTCTTAGTTTTCTTTCATATGAGAACATTGAGAATGTCCTTTTTTTTAAAATTCCATTTCTTTTATTATTATTATTATTATTATTATTAAATTGTCTTTGGGTGCAGATTTGTTTCACATTCAACAGGACATGCACATTTGATTTCATGGCCCCAATTACCATCCCCAAACATAAACAACTTTCCTCCCTTCCCTTCCCTGTGACAACTCCCTCCCTGTGCCCTTCTTACCTATGCATTGCTGTCTGTCCAGCTTTCTCTCTCTGTGAATGCTGCCCTTCTGCTCTCTCATGGCTGATTGATTAAGGGGTGCATCTCTCTAGGGTAGGTGGGTGCATCACCCTGGGGGAGGTGTTCTGCATGTTGGTTTTTCTACTGTTGGGCTGAGAGCCAATCCATGAAAGTGAGTCCATTTCCAGGCCCAAAGGGTAACCCAGGGCCATAGTCTCGGGGGTTCCAACAGTCTCTATCCTACCAGTAATTCTAGATATTTTTTTATTTTTGAATTTTGTTCCACATTTTTCCTCCCACTCTATCCAGGATCTCCAGTTTTTATCCCCTTCCGAGCAGCTGGCATTGGTAGGCAGGTGCCATCTAGTTCTTCTGGTAATATGAGAATGTCTTTTTTTATTTTTTATTTTTTATTGTGATTTGGGTGAAGGTTTATAGAGCATACTCATTTTCCATACAGCGGTTCACATGTGCTTTGTCTCGTGTCATTGACCACAGTTTACCACAATGCCACAGTTCCCCTCCCACTTCCTTCTCATAGTTACCTCTTTCCTGTGTCCATCCCTCCATGCACTTCTGCCCCCTGAGCTGTCTTCCCTGTGCATAAGCAGCCCTTCTTTCTCACATGATTGTTCTCTCCAAGGGGTGTATCTACTTGAGGTAAATGTTCAACTCATATGCCTGTCTTTTGTTTGGCTGGAAAACACAGGTTTGGGTTTAAGTCCAGATCTGAAGGGCAGCTAGGGGCCATAGTCTCAGTGGTTTCACCAGGCTCTATCGGACCAGCAAACCTGGTCCCCCCGCCCCCCTTTTTTTTTCTCTCTCCAAATGATTTTGAGTTTTGTTCCACATTGTTCTCCCTGTCTATCAAGGATCTCCTACATAGATCTCCTTTCAAGTGAATGACAGTGGTAGCCAGGTACCATCTAGTTCTTCTCGTCTCGTAGTCATATAGGCTGCAGATCAGATGGTGTACCAGTTGCTAGGACTAATTGTTTCCATGAATTTTGGTTTTCTTCATTCTTCTTTGCTCTGGACAAGGAGAGACCCATTGCTGCATCTA